TTATTTAATGAAACGTATATATATATATATATATATATATATATATATATATATATATATATATATATATATATATATACACATATATATATATATATATGATCTATGCCACAATGTTTTATTATTCACAAACTTTTGCGCCAAAAACTCCTAGCATGTGACATTTTAGATAAAAAAGAACTTTCTATATAGTTTTTACACATTGAAAGCAGACTGTAGGACCGAGACGTTATGATTGCAATAAAAGCCAGATAAAATGAACAGGAGTCTTTCTACAGTATAAAATAATCGTGACTCCACAAAAAAAACCCAATAATGCTTAAAAAACAATTTAGCTGGGAAATATAAGTAAAACCTCCAACTTAAACTAAATTAAATTTTGCCATGTAACCAAAAGAAAATGAGGTGAGTTTAGTATTATGGATATGGGTACCCGACGTTCAATTACGACCTAATCATTTTTTTCTTTTTTTGCAAATTAAATTCACGTTATACTAGACCCAAGAGCCACTCATGATAGTGTATGATGTGTGTCGCATGAAAATAAAAGTAGAAAGTGAAATTTGCGCAGACATGACAGATAGATAACTAGATTTGAAGAGATAAGAAATGTAGTGTTCTGGGAAACATAGACCCAGGATTCCGTTTCACAAAGTAGCTTTTCTTAGGAAGAATCTATCAGTGTGGAACGCCCTTCTTACGAAAGGAATACGTATAGGATTAGGGTGTGTTGTATGGAAGCACCACCCGCCTTCTGTACGCTAATGGTTCGACATAGACTCGTCCATTCATTATGAGTAGAATGTCTGCTCATAGGAACAGGATTCACCAAGTAAGTCGTAGGCATTGCCGCACTAACTACGGTATTCGCTATTATTTTATCATTAATCTATGCGACTAAGCAACTTCGTCACTAATCTTTTATTCCATTTTTATTAATATTATTAACCAGAACTACGAGATATTACGAGCCTTATAACAGAATGATTCCTCTCTGGACGTAGCCAAACTAGTCTCAGAGAAAGAACACTATATTCCAAAACAGAATGAAGCGGAAAACCATATCACTTTCTTTCCCAAGAATACATGACAATTCACAATTTTACAGATTGATTTTCAAAGAATTTCTCCATTTTTCTTACTCAGCCCCCATGAAACCTATTTGAAAATGTTGAAACCGTCTATATAATGTGATAAAGACGTTTTTAAGAAAAAAGGTTTATACTAAAAGATATAACACCTACAATATAATATACAAACCATATATCTATAAAAACATACGTTTACCCTGTAAGTATTGATTGATTCGTTTTTACGGTTTATCAACCTTTACAGTTATTTAAAACCAGAAAATATATGATTTAGTGATATAAGTCTAACAAATTAACCCGTAGATCGAAGGTAAGGAGTGGATGTATACCTTTCCCAAGGTTACTTGCGCCTAAGTGGCTTTAACATAACCAACTGAATTTGGAACTAGGCACTTTGATGAACAATTGCGAGCCTTTATCCTTACACCGTCCGCACATCCACGTTTATAGCACATGTGTATTGTAATAATATTGAGTTAGTGAGACAAGTCTTACTAATTAATCCATAGCTGGGGAGAGAAGAGGTGGCTTTGAACCTTTCCAACGTGTATTTGCGCGTAAGTCAAAACGAAACCGACTGGAATTGGAACTCTGCTCACAGTTTAACGATTCCGAGCTCTTATACATTATACCACACTTACACCCAAGCCGGTATTCTCAAGCGGTCACCCATCTATGTATTGACCAATCTCGACGTTGCTTTAGTTCAGTGAGCGTACGGGAGTCGATGATTCTAAGTGATATAGGCGCAAACCACGGAAAGCACACAATTATGCACGAACTATATTCAGTTGAAACCATAAAATTGCTTTCAAAATATTTAAATTTCGCCATTAAATATTCCATAGCGGTTGATATACTGCTAAGCAAAAACAAAGAAATGAAACATGGAACGTGTGGAGAGCTATGATCGTATGCTATCTTGCAGGAACATGATATTACACAAATAAATAAATAAATAAATAATTTGTTCTAAATACAGATGGAATATTAGGCCGTTTCTTTTCTTTCTCTGCTATATTCAGAGATTGTTTTATTTTCTACTTGTTTTATTATTTGAATCATTTTTTTTTTTACGTCTACAGATGGAGGTCATAATAATTGACTTCATTCCCGTCTCACCATATACACAGCATGACCTTTGGAAAAAAATCGTTTTTTGTCATGTTAATACTGTTTCAATTCTCTTGTGATACAATTTCTAATGTTTCCTGCTGCGACGTAACCACCCACCCCGCTTGTGAAAAGAGACATACTATTCTTTCTTTCTTTCTTTCTTTCTTTCTTTTCTTTTTTCTTTATTTTCTGTTTGTTATGACAAACATAAAAGCAACGTGTGCAACGAACTTGGTGCAAAATATTTTGACACTTGATTTGTATATTTTTAATACGTTCCTTATCTTCTGGGATGTGTTGACAGTGTAGCGATTATCGAGGCGTTAAATTGAATTGACTGTTAATTTTCAGAAAAAAATAATCTCTTCTCCCGCTAGCTATTGATTAGATAGGGTAGACTTGGTTTTTCTAGCATTGGGTGGCAAGTAGTCTAAAAATCTAAACTCCAAACCGTGGAGACAGCAAAAGGGATGACACAACTATCTTTTTCATTGAGGCGTTAAAATTCAAATATATTTATAAAATAAAATAAAATAAAATCTACGGAGACCAGTGATTGTTCGCGCCCTTAAGCCATCCATAAATGCCTTTCGCGTATTATTATTATTATTATTATTATTATTATTATTATTATTATTATTATTTTTTTTGATTTCTGGCGTTTACACTTTTCTTTCCGAGTCCCGCCCAGAGACCTAAGGTTAGAAATGGCATCATGACACTTTCCACTGACAAAAAAAAAAAAAAAAAAAATTACATGGATAAAGCCCTTCGTAAAGTGTGGGCTGTACTTGTCAGAACAATTTTTTGTATCTCCTTGAGGCATGGACTTCCAGGAATCCCTTCAATTAGTCTGCTGCAATCTTTTCCAACCAATCCTAGGACTTCAACTACAACAAGGATTGTTGATGTTCCCATAAGCCACATTTTTGAGATTTCTATTTCAAGGTCCTTGTATTTTGACAACTTTTTGAATATCTTCAATGATATATTGCAGTCAGCAGGGACTGACATATCAATAAGGAGGCACTTTTTTTGTTTGTGGTCTTTAATAACAATATCTGGGCGGTTGGCTTTGATTGTTCTGTCAGTGTGTATTGTGTAGTCCCATAGAATTGTAACAGGTCCTATCTCCATAACCGGGTCTGGGTGGTGTTCATACCATTTTCTTTTAGTTATTATTAACTTCGCTTTAGCTCATTAGCGATCATGACTCTCTATAACTTTCTTTCTTGGGTGGCTGCTAGCAGTTTTTTTCTCCCTTTGATAAGGCCTCCAACTAGGTTAGATCTCCATTCACAGAAGCTTTTCAGCCAAATGACTCACTCTATCCCTATCTCTCTCAATATTACCTCTCAATATGCCCTGTGAGTGGTACGTTTTCAAAGCCCTTTTTTCTCATTAGATGCCCAAGTTATTTCAGATGTATTTTCCTTATTTTGCGTATAAGTTTTCCCTCTGTTGCAATTTTCTCTAAGACTTCTTTGTTTCTCACTCGCTCCACCCATGGAATTTTCAGTAACATTTTGTAGAATAGCATTTCTATCACTTCTTGTCTTTTCTATGTTCTTTGGGAAATTTTCCAAACAATTACAGTCATCCAAGAGGATGGTTACCACAGCACGGTTTTCTTTGTTTTTACCGAATTTTTTTGTAATAGCTTTGGTGTGTCACTTTGTCTAGTTCAATGCTGTTCGGATCTCGATGTCGCATTTTCCATCTTCTTTTAAAAGGATTCCCAGATATTTAAACTTCAGCAGTTTGTTTCTCATTCTTCTTCATTCGCTAGTCCAATCAATGTTCGGATCTCAGTATATCATTTGCCATCCTCTTTAAAATACATCCCAGATATTTAAACTTCAACTGTCTCTTCCTCATTCTGCTTCTTTCGCCAGTCCAATATGTGTTCGGAACTCGGTGTCGCATTTTTCATTCTTTGTTAAAAGGCTTCGTAGATATTTAAAATTCAGCTCTTTTTTCCTCCTCCTGTTTCTTTCGTCAGTCCAATGCGTGTTTGGATCTCGGAGTCGTATTTTGTATCCTCTGGAAAAAAAAAACTTACCATATATTTCAGCTGTCTTTTTCTCATCCTTCTTATTCACCAATCCAATGTTTGTTCGGATCTCTGTGTCGCATTTTCAATCCTCTGTTAAAATATGTCCCAGATATTTAAAGTTCAGCTCTCTTTTCCTCGCCCTTCTACTTTCGCTAGTCCAATCTGTGTTCGGATCTCAGTGTCGCATTTTCCATTTTTCTGTTAAAACGCTTCCTGGACATTTGAACTTCTTCACGTGTTTGATGTTTCTATCTCCATTTCTAACATCGAGGGCGCTTTCTCTTACTGATTATAATACCTAGTCTGCTTGCAGTTGACGGTTATTCTTATTTATCTCGCTTTCTTCTACTACCCTGTCTAGGAAATCCGGTAGTATAGCTTTGTTTAATCCCAAGTAATATCTTCAAAAGGTCGGTATTAAGGTCAACTGGTCAAACCAATCTTGGAACATCGTTCGGTGAACAATTCCCAGCAAAGAACTTTGACAAACTATTTTGACAGTTTCGATCATTCACCGTACAACTTATTTTTTTATTTTTATTGCTCTTTATTTGAGTTGCTTTTTATTTACTTTTTTGTTAAAAGCAACATCATAATATACTGCAAATGTTGTATATATTATTTCCTCTTAAAAATAATAATAATAAAATAGAGCCGATTTTGATAATTAAAACAAATAATGCTTTTATGAGATACATCAACATTCGGTCAAAATAGGTCAATGAAGTTAAAGGGCTTACAGTCATATTATGTTGAAGCAACGGTTTCTCTACGACCACCGAAGTTAAGCAACGTCGAGCATTGTCAGTACCTAGATGGGTAACCGCTTGGGAATACGAGGTGCAGCAAACTTGGATTTAATGGATAATGGCTCAGAATTGTCCAATTTCAGTAGGGTTCGTTTTATTCATTTTCTCGCATATGTCTTGGGAAAGGCATGAAGCCACATTTTCTCCCCCAGATATGGGTTAATTAACCTATATCTGGATTGTATCACACAAAAATCATTATTATATCAAAAGTAAAAATAAAATAAAATTGTGTAGAGACATTTAGATTTTGGCATTAATAACCCATAAAGGTGTTAATATGCCGCTAAACAAAAACAACGAACCACATGAAGTTAAAACGCTCCTCATGCTATCTGACGGCAACATCGAAATAAGAAAATAGTGCTGATTTAATAATAATAATAATAGCTGCAGTTTTATAACATTACGCTTGTGGAAAAGGTGCTGAAAGGTGTGCAATAAATTATCAACGACAAGGCCGAGTTGCAGTCATTTTTGTACTAACCCTCTTTGAAAAGTTATGTCTCCTACGAGCTTCTAAACTTGGGTGTGTTTCCTAGGCGCTGGCACTTGGTACATCACCTTTATTGAGTGAATCAAGACCGCTCGCAAAATGTATTTTTTTAAGCATTTCACCCCAAGCAAGGCGGGATGCCACTAGGAAGGTATGGGTTACAGTGAGTGGGAACGAGAGTAAAGAGGCGTGATAGTGGAAAGGATGAAGAGAAGGACAGGGAATAGATCAAGTCATCTGGAGATGTCGATTGACATCGCACTTGAATAGTTGGTAATTATAGCTATCAGGAAAACAAGTAACAGGAAGGGAATTCCACAGACGGGAGGTGCGAAAAATGCAGCCATTGAAGTAGAAGACGCGGCTACATTTAACTGTTTCAACAGTGAAAGGGTGGGACCAAGAAGCCAACCTAGTAGCACGTTTAAATTCACGCAGTCTGGGAACTAGCGAAAATACCTCGCCGGAGCAGATACCGTGAAAGTATTTGTAGAAAAGACAGAGAGAGGCGACGGCGCGTCTTTGAGAGAGCGACTGTAGACGAGATGCCAGATCAGGGCCAATCCCATATTCGTCTCTGGATTTTGTCGAGGACCTTAAGATGAACGGCAGGGACACCCGACCAAATATGGCAAAAGTATTCCATTTAGGATGACGTAATTAAGGACACTTGCAAGGGCGATATGAGAGGATTGATTACCCGGCCTGAATGTATTTTTGTCGTTTTTCTTTTAATCCTTTTACCTCGGAAGGGATTACTGAGTGTTAGAGAATACGAGATAAAAAAAAAGACTATTAAGGAGAAAGAACATTAAAAGATCAAGAATTAAACTAGGCTGTAAATAACGATTGGCATTGTATTTAAATGTGAAGATCAAAGTTCCCTTGGAATCCAGAAGCCAGAAGACGGTTCCTCAAGCGAGAAGTATTACAGAAGAAACTGTTAGCATAGAACTTACGATTAAATTTATTTTAACTGTAAAAAGATGAGCTGATGTATTGCGCTTAAATTTACAATGTCTACTTACCACAGATGAAAGTTCATCAAAAGAATTCCCACGAAAGTATTTTAGAAAAGTTATAGGGAAGACTACATTAAGAAAGTGAGAAAGTAAGTGAAAGAAAGATGCCAGGTTAATCCCAAATATATCGCAGATTCTTCTTTGAATTTTATCAAGAATTTCTAAATATATAACAGGAGCACCAGACTAGATGTGGTAGCAGTATTCGAAGCAAGAACAAAAGGTAGACTCATTAATATTTAAGGTAGTTTCTGGGCAAAAAAAGAACGTCTAACACGACACAGAGAACCAATTTACCGATAAGCAGACCAAGTATTTGATTCGATATAATCTTTCCACTTCATGTCATCTGAAAACGTTAGTGCGATAAGACGCAATGAATCCCTGTCTTGTCTGAACCCCATCTCCGAGGAAAAGGAATACGAATTTTGTTATAATCAAGAGTGCTGAATTAATATATCTATCCTCCAGTGTGTGTATGAATATAAAATAATTTAAAAACGTTTGATTTCTTTCTTGTTTTTGGCGATAAAAGTCATACTATTTATCTTATGACTAGTGAGGAGGAGACAGGTTCATACCATTCAAAATGATATTTGCGCGTAATTTAAAAAATGAGACACAGTAAATTAAGGGATTATGTCTCGCATTAACTAAACGAGTTTGAATTCCAGTTGAGTTCATTACATTCACTTACTTGATATGGGTAAATATTAGTAGAGACTAGGTGGCAATCTGTCGAGGAAGAGGGAAATTCTGTCTTGGTCGTGTCTTTGTTTACAGAGCCCTTAAACATTAATTACTTGAAGAACAATGTAATATACCCAGCCACTGTAAAGAAAGAAAAAAACATTCATAACACTAGATGAAGGACCTTGGAAACAAAGAAAATGCACACTGAAACATCCTTTACAAATAGTAAATGCAAGAACAGAAAAATGCATTGTAAACATGTTTAGGATATTTAAAAAGGAAAAAAAAACAAATCACACCAAAAATATTATGGGAAATAAGGAAAAGAACATCAGCTTAAAATAATCAATCCAAAAAATGTAAACTCTGCCTGGAAGAAAAAATTGCTATATTTAACTTCCCAAAGACAAACACACTACTAAATAAACGATCAGAACTCATCTCAGAATGCAGTCATGAAGACAATGTTTTACTGTGCGACTTAAAAATTGAAAACGAACCAGAATAAATGAAAATATGCAAATAAATTAAAATAAATAGACTAAAAGTTAAATAAATTAATACAAATACTAATTAAATAAACTATACTTACGAAAATAACCGTTAGTATAATGCAACAGACTACCCACAATGCATCACTGACCGGTATATTAAAAAGATGGGCACAAAGCACCACGTATATGGCCTAATGATTGTGTTTAGTGTGAAATAGACTATCGCTTCTCGGTGTTGACTTCAATGTCCACATTTTTTTTCTGGTCTAATATTATTGATCTTCTGGTAAATTCTTTGTTGCTCACACCAGTATAATTGTTTTTTTTTTCATTATTAATAGTAGTATTAGTATATATCTGAAAACTGGATTAACAGAGGTCGGAAATTGCAACAAAGATCTCCGATGTCGTATTGGGGGAACGAAGGATGCCTTCCTATAGCTAGGAAACAGAAGAATATTGTTAGAAACAAAGCAAAAATGTACTGAACTATTATGTAATATCAATCCGCCTGTATGGCGTTGAATGTTGGACAATCGCCTCACAGATGAAAAAGAGACTTTAAGCCACAGAAATGTTGCTCTATTGAATGATGCTGAGAAAATCATGCACCGAACAGGACGTTGAGTTTTGAAGACAATAGAAACAAAATGGACACGGATAATGAGAAAGAGATAGTTGAAATTTCTGACGCATATAATGAGGAGAGAGGGCTTGGAAAATCTGGTACTTACAGGGCATTGAATGTAAGTGTGACGGACGAAAACAACGCATGACCTACCTGCCAAAATTGTGTGAATGGATGGAAGAAAAGGATTCTGGGGGGATAACAAAAAGACAAAATTTATTAAGAGCTACAGAGGAAGTTGTGGAGAGATATGATCTCAAAAGTCCTGAAAGGACACGGTCTATAGAAGAAGAATTATTCTTTTATTGACCTGAGGATTCGAGAGTCTTAATAAAAAAAAATATGCTTTTCAACTGGGTTTATATTAGTGACTTCCATATTCCGAGTGTAACTGCAAAATTGTCCAAATCGTGTAACAGCAAAATTATCCATCCCACAAAATGTTTCATATCTAAAAAAGGACTAAACTAACTTTAGTTACTTTTTTCCAGGTTTTCAGATAAGACGTTTAGCCACCTTGGTACTATTTCTGGTAAGAATCACGGACACACCCTATGATTTATTCAGCTTAAAAGAGAACAGGGCAAAATTGTTTTGTGTCTGCCCTACAATGCCTTCCAAAGTGATCAATGGTGAAAGGAAAAAGATCATTCAGGCTTTCAGTAATGATACCAATATTCATACTTTGGCACTCATCTCCATAGTTTATTCAAGAACCACCAAGAGAACGGTGAATAAGCTTAAAAAAGACGGAACAGTAGAGAGGAAATCTTGATCAAAAGGTAACAACTGGTAGAGGGATCATAATTTCAAATTAAAGAGATCAATTAGAAAAGATCCAACTCAACCCGAAAGACGTTAGGCACGTGAGAGAAGTTTCAACGATGACAGTACAAAGAGCAGTGAAAAATGTAGGAAATGTAATTGTACGTGAAGCATCCTGTTACCATCTGAAATTACACGCACACAATTCTGGGAACGCCATCTGTTGGAAAAAACACGAACTTATTCAAGGTCCTAATATATATATATATATATATATATATATATATATATATATATATGTGTGTGAACTTTATATCAGTACTTAATGACCTTCCGATCCTTGGCTATGATTAATTAATGATGAACATGTCCATTTTTCTAAGGGATAAATTATAGATTGTTATTGCTCAACGTTGAGTCCAAAAGTGTTAGGAAAAATCTCGGAGAATAACTTTAATCATTTTTTCGATACAACAGTTCAAAACATAATCTAACAATTGGACAATTTTGCTGTTATACGATTTGGAGAGTTTTGCTCTTACACCTGGCATAAGGTAAGTCACTTTGTGACCAGGAGCGGTTCAGACCCCTCATCCACGAATGATAACACCGTATGCTTTTTAAAGAATCTATCGTTAAAACCTTTCGAAGAATACATGTGCTAACCTTTCTTTTTCCATAAAGAACTAAAAATTGTTCCTTAGTAATTCATTGATTTTATCTATCATCCAGCATTATTTATTATTACTATGTTATATGTAGAGAATACAGTTGTTTGAATTATAAAGAGTGCAGCAGAAATAACACCCAGAAATAAATTAGCAATTTTAACATAATGAGGAAAGTATCTCTAGGAGGTATATGTCGGAGTCACATCTGCTAAACTCTTTATTAAGGATGATTATAAATAAAATTCTTTAATTAGCTGGAAATTAATTTGTT